GGATTAACCGATAGCCCTCAAGTGGGTGAGGGGGAAAGAATGCCTCTCTCCTGGTATTCCTGAGGTCGCGCTTGATCTAGGTGGGCTGGAAAAGGGGTTGGTAGGGAAGGTGCAGCCAGTAATCTATAACTGTCTCTGCTTCCAGTGCTCTTCCTCTTGCAAAGTCTTGATCTAATTAAACTGTCATCACGCTATTATAGTAATGGCTCGCGGGCATTTGATAGAGCTTGACAGAAGTGGAAGAGAGGGAAACGAAGGATTCACTGTGTCGATGACACAATGCATCGCAAACCTGTGTGCAGATAGCTAATCTTTCAGTTCAGTCACAAAAATATTTATAATGCAGGGAGGAAGAAGGGAATATTTTCAGTGCCCTGTCTTCTTGCCTTCTTAAAGGGTCTCTGTCAAATGTGAGAACTGGGCTTTAAAAATCTATTGCGCTCAGCAAGCTGGGGCCATGTTATCCCCACGAGGGAGATGTGTGTGTGTGTGTGTGTGTGCGCGCGCGTGTGCCATAAGAGAGCATTATTAGCAGATTTACTTGGTGTTGCTTGGGTGTGTAACTCAAGACATGGCTGCTTGAGTTTTGTTAGGAACTACACGGAGGAGCGGCGTGAGGTGGGGGGAAGGAAGGCATGGCCGGGTCCCCTGAGGAGCTGTGGGGGGGGGATCCCCAGGTCCCAGGTGAATCGGCGTGGGGGGGGAAGGGGAGAGACTTCTCAGGCCTCATGAGGAGGCTTGGAAGGGGAGGGAGAGAATCCCCACACTCCGGGTGAAGTGGCGGGGGAGGAGGAGGAAATCATTAGGCCCCGCAGAAGCCTCACAGCAGGGCAGGGGAATCTCCACAAGCCCGAATGGAACAGTGGAGGAGGGGTAGTGTGTAAATCCCCATAGGTGGGGTGGGGAAAATCCCCCCCAGACCTGGTAGCAGGGTGGAGGAGGTAATGCCCAGGCCCTGTAGCTGCTGGGGGGGGAGAGGGGAGGAAGGGGAACCTTACCAATAGATAGCCTAGCCAGTCAGTTTCATACTGGTGTGGTTGTCCCCAGTATCCCATCCCCGCTCACTGCCCCCAGTGATGAGTGTGAGGATCGCGGCCCTCCTCTCTCTGCCCCTCCCTTCCCATGTCTGGGGGGGGGAGCCCCATTCCTGCCACTTCCCATGTTCCCAGCACAACCAAACCCCAACCTTGCTCTAACATAGGATAAGAGGAAGCTGCCTACCAAATTTGGTGGCCCTAAGCTCTTGCTGTTCAGGAGGAGTTCTTGCACAGAGACAGACAGACATTTTGTTTCTAAAATATTGATATAGATTAGCCCACTGGATCCCTGCATCCAGGAAAGGACACCCCCTGGATACTAGCCAAAGCCCTGAGGGACTGTGTAGAAAAGTGACTGCAGCTTCTGGCAGCAAATCAGGATGTCAAGGAACGGGCAGGGGGCAGCGTGCTCTTCTTTTGAGCCCTGTTCTCATGTCTTGCTGTTCCTCTCCCCTACCCACTCGGGGAAAGCAGTGCGGTAGAACGAGCAGAGCTGGGCATGGCGGGCAGTGGAACAATCTGGCCCCGTGCTCACCCCCAAGGCCGGGCATGGGGAAATCTGTTTGTAGATTGCTTGGCTCTTCCTCCACTTCCGTTACTCTCTTTGCCCGAAACAAGGCGTTCATACCCACATAGCCCACCACAAATTGAACCTGGATTCCATTACTTGCCATTTCCTTTTCCAGAGCCTCCCTCCTTCTGTTTCTCCCTAGCTTGCTTTGTGGCTTTGCAATTTCATTTTGTTTTCAATGCTGAAAGCATAGGCTTCCTGAATTGATTATCCTTATGAAATGCTTCTGCAAGGGCTTTACTACCATTTGGATCCTCTGGCTCTTTTTGAGATGTCTGTGCTCTGCGATGCTTTAGGACTGGTCTGAAACCACAGTAGGAACACGGGGGCTTGGGATTTGGTAGGTTTTTTTTCCCTCCACTTGTTAGTGTTTCTAAATTGTGCCAATAACAGGTGTCTGCTGCCATGAGCATGAGACCATATTCCAGCACATAGGTGCCCATTTACATTGTTAGGAGCCCCACTTCTTCTTCCCGACCTCTGACAGTGCCCAACAACGAGTTAACAACAGTTAGAAGCCGGATGAAGCTTTCCTATTGTGATCTAGTGAAAAGATTGGTGCTTTTGAGCCTGGGTAGAGACAACTACTACCAGATTTTAATGAGGTGTTTAAACGTCTGAATATTTGTATTGATTTATCATGAACATAAAGCAGTGAGAAAGGCGCACAAATGAGAGACACCAAGTAACATTAAATGAAAGATAAGAGGAAAGAGAATAAGAGATTATATAGTGAAAATAATCGCTAGAACAAAGCAAATCATTCACAACCAATAAATTAATAGATGTATTTAGTTTCTTTATACTTGTGGAAGATCTACAAGGATGATTTTTTCTCAACTGTATTCATCATGAGCATGTCTCTGATGAAATCGCTGATGGCTTTTAAAGTTCTATAGCTTGATCACACGATTTTGAGTGTTTCATACTTGCTGTTTAAATTATGGTGGGGCTGAGCCTGCAAACACCCTGCCACATGCCCTCTCTTTGGCGCCAAATGGACAGCATGCAGACATGGGCATGTTCAGGATAATCCACTGGCTTGATTTTAATTGGTTAGTTGAATCACATGGTGCTGTTTCTGTTGCCTGACTGCTAAGATGAAAGCATTTCTGGTACATACAACTGTAAAAGTGGTGTTCCAACTGCAGCCCAGTCTCTGGTCCTCCCTGAGTTTTATTATCCACGCCCGAGCCTGTCTCCTGTCCTGGCTTTCTGTTTGTAGTTTCTCGTTTCTCTCTCACTCCTTGCTCTGTGCTCACTATAGCACAGTGATCTCATGATTTACAGCACTTCCCGAAACAGGTCCCTCCTTATGTACTGGAGGTACTGAGCCAGTGGGTAGGAGCTAGCCCTCAAGGGCACACCTGTAGAAGCAAAACA